GTGTGTGTGTGTGAGAGAGAGAGAGAGAGAGAGAGAGAGTGTGTGTGAGAGAGAGAGGAGGAGGAGGAGAGAGAGAGAGAGAGAGCTAGAGAGAGTGTGTGAGAGAGAGGAGGAGAAAGGGAGAGAGAGGAGGAGGAAGACTCGGAAAGAGAGAGAGAGAGAGGAGAGAGGGAGAGAGAGAGAGGAGGAGGAGGAAGAGGAGGAAGAGAGAGAGAGAGGGACGGGTCTCCTCCATTATCTCTATTTGAGGGATGGAGCTCAGGCCTTTTTCCGTCCATCTCCTGAGTCTGTGGCTCCCACACGTGCACGCCCGTCCACACGTGCACGCCCGTCCACACGTGCACGCCCGGGCGCGCACGTGCACGTTCAGACGTGCACGTTCAGCCCCCGATCAATGGCCTCTTACGCAATATCCTCGTTGGCTAATAAGCCCGGCATTGATTTTCCCGTGTGAGGAGAGAGCCGTGTGAGGGGAAAAGAGGCGGTTTTTCCGGGTTGCCATGGAGATGCTCGGGGTCATCGGGGGTCACCGGGGGGTCAGAGATGTTTAAAGTACTGGAGTAGAGGAGTGGAGTAGAAGTACAAGTACTATATAAAAATATGTACTTGAGTAAAAGTAGAAGTATTCTTTCAACACCATACTTAAGTGGAAGTACAGAAGTACTCAATTTTTTATTACTTAAGTATTGCAAGTAGAAGTGTTTCAAAAATTGTTACTCAAGTATTGAAAGTACAAGTATAAGTAAAAGTACAAGTACTATGTACAGTATATTAAAAAAAGGCAGTCAAAAGTGTGATAGATATTGTTTATATTATTTCAAACGTGTGAAAGGCCGTACAGGTAATTAATCCAAATTATGTAGTGGAGTAAAAGTAAAAGTAGGGAAAAATATATATACTCCAATAAAGTCCAGATACTGCATTTTGGTACTTAATACAGTCCTTAAGTAGTTCTACTTCGTTTCGGACCAGAGTCCCACCTGGAGGCCTCAGCTTCTCAGACCAGAGGTCGGATTCTCTCAGGATAATTTCCAGATAACCGGGTCTCCTTTCATGATAAAGACTCAAAACCTGTTTGATTTTTCTGTTAACTCTATAATGCCAAATGTATCATATTTGATTCATTCGGTTTCTGAAATGTTTTGCGTCTGACATCTTTTGCATAATTTAATGGTAAAAACTTTGCCCAAAACCCTATTTTACACAATCAGATACACCTGATAACAGGGGGCAGAAGACTACACAAAAAATAATCTTGACTTAATAAATTATTAATATTAGAAATGTATTTCTGTTTTTTCTTTTTACATATTTTGTTAAAAAGCCAAATAAAGACTTCAAACCAAAAAAAAGTAATTTTCTGTTTTGTTTTACTCTTGGATCAGGCTTTAAAGGGTTAAACAATCAAACCCTCGACTGGACACTCGTTTGTGGCACTTTCCCGTTTTCTCTGGGCTGAATGAACTCGGATCATATTTCTTTAGAGGATTTAGATTTAAAATATGATCTTGGTTCCTTTAATTAGCATTAAATAGCTAAGCTACGCCACAAACGACACATTTCCTCCTCAAATCTGAAGAAAAAATATCTACATTTTATTACTTTCAGGAACATTTTAGGGGGGGTCCCGAGGTGCTCGGGAACTCCTGGTTTCATAATAAAGACTAAAAACGTATTTAATTTTTCTGTTTAACTATCGAACCCCCGACTGGACGCTGGTTTGAGGCAGCTCAGGCTTTGATTTGAACCCGATTTCTCTGGGCTGAATCAACTCATATTTTCCAGAGGATTTAGATTAAAAAATATGATCTCAGTTCCCTTAATTAGCATTAATAGCATGATAAAGACTCAAAACTTGTTTAATTTTTCTTTTTACCTATCAAACCCTCGATGGGACGCTTGCTTATGGCTTTGATTTGAACCCGTTTTCTTAGGGTTGAGTGAACTTGCTCATATTTCTTTAGAGGATTTAGATGAAAAAATATGATCTTGGTTTCTTTAATTAGCATCAAATAGCTAAACTACACCACAACCGACACGTTTCCTCATCAAATCTGAAGAAAATATATTTATGATTATTACTTTTGGGAACATTTTAGACACAAAGACATCATCTCCTCTCAGAAATAATGAGGATTTGTTTGATTTTAGCCCTCCAGAGTCTGAATCCTGTTCCAAAGCCACTTCTCACCCCTCTGTGAGCTACTGTGCGTCTTAAAACAATAAAATCAGAGCGTAAAACACTCAAAACACAACCACTTTTCCATCGTTATGAGTCCCGGGGGGTTTATAAACACTTCAGTTCCCAGAAAATTGTGGAAATGAGGTGATCCCAGTCTCCTGCTGGAAGCTGATGAAGCTTTCCCAGATTTTCCAAAGTAAAAACGCGTTTTGCATCAGACTTTCGAGCCTCTCGGGGGAAACGTGAAGTTTTAAAGGACTTTAGAGACTAAACTGGAAGACTGGAGACATTTTTTAACAGGAAACGTGAAGATATGTTTGATCCTTTCT